GTATTTCCGCGGCGCCCCCCGCGCCCCCACACCGCCGCGGGCGGCGCTATATCCACCAGCCACTGCCGCTGTACTGGTGTGTTGTTTTCTTCGCCAGAACTAAGAAGATATAATAAAGCAAGATAATCAGCAGGATGCAACAGCCCAAAGGAATAAGAAATCGGTTCAAAGACAATAGGCCAACTTCGTTCGGCTAATCCTTCTGCCCAACATAAGATATTGAGGCTGGACCCGATTGTGACGTTTCTTGTCTCCGGGCACGTTCTGTATTCCCGCCCAGAAGATATCGTAGTAGTCCAACTATCATGGGTCAAGACCAGATCACGACTTCGTATTTTCTCTCATTAGCAGAAAAATTGACCAGACGGTCATGCTCCAGTCATGATTGTATCACTACCCACAGTCGCCATCGTGTCATGACCGGATCGAGGCGAGTGGACTAAGACCGAGACAGGCATGATCATGATCGGGTCATGACCCGGTCATGCCCGGGTTATGAATGAATCGTGATCCGATCATCCCAATCATGACATAAAGTCATGATCAGTAAACCACTGATGTCCAAGCCCGACGTTTGGTAATCATTTTGGCAAGGTACCGCAATCTTCGCCGCAGACCTCAAGACCGAAACTTGCAAACCATATCACCACTCACGTGCAGCTCGATCGTGGCGCAAACGATGGCGAATAACGTGCGTGTTTGAACCACTTTGATTGAGAAAGGAAACAGTCAAGCGTGTAACCTTTGCGAAGAATGTTTGTGATACTGCTGTACTGCACCTATACTAACCTGTTGACCCAACCAACCCTCTACGTGCTGGCCCCAGGATGCCCTCGATGAGGTCAACCCTGGTGACGTCATCGAGCTGGGGCACGGAGATTACTGGGAAGACCTTAAGACAACGGTGGGTGGACTGCGGTGTGACCTCGCATGTGCGCTCAGGGTTGTCCCGCATCTATAAGTACAAAGAGTCACCACATATATAAAGCCCAGCCAGAAGGAAAATGACCGTTCTACTGTAGTACACATAACTCGGATGTTAGGCGCAACCATATGCAAACGCACTTTCTTCGCGGTGTACCATACGCAGACCACGAATCATTCACTACCATGTCCCCGGAGCCAACACTCAGTGCGGTCGGGTACAAAATGTTGGTATGTATCACGCCCACCCAAGATTTATTCTACAGCTGCAGCAGGTGCTCCAATACGTCACAGTTGTATGCTGACATACCAAAGGGCTAGAGCGCCAACCAGAATATTGAGCGGCTGTGAAATATCGATGGGCGTGCACTTTAAACAACCCTGACACGGTACTGTACCGTAGAACCTGTCCAGTAATGGCGTCTCTTGAGACTAGCGTTGGACTATTTCTCGCGGCCAAGCCTTGATGTCGGTTCATTCTCTCACTTCATCGTCGCCGCTCTGTAGATCGATGGAACGGCCGACATGCCAATCACTATCCGCGGGGCTGGTGGGACGGACGACAGAGACAACGTCGTTCTTCGCGGCGATGGCACTAGCAGCAGGGTCTTCGAAGTCAAGCACGACTACTACATCATCGAGGTGCGAATATCGTCGGCTACGGCGCAGGCATGCACTGCGAAAACGCCATGACTATACTGCAATGCGTATATATATATGTTGGTGGGCCATACGCAGCAGCGCATTCATATCTTTCATCGAGAGCCAAAGAACTCCAAAGGATAGGCCAACATCGAGGAGGCCTGTGGTGGCGAAGTGCAATCATGATAACCGAAGCGCCGCTCCGATGCGAATCATTGGTACCATCATAGCCGGGCATGCGGATATTGTTGCTCTACGTCGCAATATTCCTATTGGATGTCGCATGCTAGCGATCGAGTCGCCGAGTACATGGGCGATGTCGTGGGCATGTGGTGCATGGCCTTTCCGTCTGCAGCGTTGTCGTGGCCTTTGACGCTTGTCATAGTATCAGGCCTGCCTCTAAAGGCATTCGCGAGCAAGGAATGAAGAGCATCATCACTCAACCATGCGTGAGGCGAACAACCAAGCATAAGACGCGTTGGTAATACGAATAATAATTGCCGTGTCCGCTCGCCCCCGAACAGGACTTCACAGTGAACGGAGACGCGGAAGATGATCCAGACCGCGGTTCGGGCTCCGATTCCATCAAGGAATTGTGGCGCGACATACTAATCTACGCCACCGGTAGGAGACCCGACCAACCATGGCGTCGTTGTTTTGGTGTAGGCGGCCTCCTTTGTGATGTGGTGTTATTGGTGTTGTTGTTTCCGTTGCCAAGATCGTTTCGGGGCCCCATTCCAAGGTTGTTCGCAACCCTCCACAACGACGAGACCACAAAGTTACAATACCAGGAAGGACACGCTTGCAACGGGAAAGCTATGACTGGACAAGTACAGAGGGGTCCGTTCCTCGCGTCCGTTGTACGAGAAACGTGCTGATGGTAGAACCTAATGGCCCGTGGTCGCCGACATCTGCCCATCTTATTGTTTTGACTGTCAACGTTGGCATGGCCCCTGCGGCTATTCACGCGTGCGGCGGAAGCTCAGGCTGCTACTCCCCCTCCCACCGCTACCCACCCACTTCGTTGTAACGCATAGATGTTGACCGTTGTTTTCACTGCCCGCCTCGGTTACCCAGGCGGGCGGGAGCCTACCGAAAGGGATGGAGGCTATGTTTCTGGCATAGACGGCCTGGTAATTCGCAACATGGCGATTGCCAATGCCGGTGGCGAGTGCATCCGCTTGCGCGGTAAGCGGAGAAGCGACAAATAGCGTTCTCGTGTCATATACGGCATCCCTCTCTCGCATGCGAAATATAGTTTGTCGTTGCCGTCAGTTTCTTCTCAATGCTAACTGCCGCGTTCATTCGAAAACGTGAGCGGGCTGTTTCGCGTGTTTGAGTGTCTGATGCTCGGTCGTACGTAGTGCTTCAAGGTCGTGCTACGTGCAATTTCCCTTGTCTCCGTGAAGCCAGCTGTTCTTCAAGCAGTCTCCAGTTGCGTCTCAGAGGACAAAGTCTGACCGCGTCTAGAGTGAACTCATGCGCAGGCGGCACAAATTGGAATCACTATTGTTAACACCTCGAACCATTTTCCTTTCGGCGTTCGTGCTCTACTTCCACCAAACACGCGGCCGCTCCTGCCGCTGCCCATCTTTCCTCTCAAGACCACGTGACGTACGCCGAGGTGTACGGCAACACTATCACCGACTGCGGTAAGCTTCAGCCATAGCCTTTTTCAATGCCTTAGCACAAGCTCCACCCTATCGACACATCGCTGACACCAGAGCTGGCGAACCTTAGTACCCAAACAATAACCTCCACCCCACCCCATCTCTTGCTTTCCGACGCTTCCGTTCCCGTCTTCGTGCGCCCAGGAATCTACGACTTCAGGTTCGAGTAGCCCCAATGCACCCAGGCTCGACCTGATTCGACTTGAAGAGCGGCGCGTTCTTGACATGTCAAGCGATTTTTCCCGAAATACCTCGCGTTACGCGTTTACCGGTGGCGGGCCTGGGTGATTTGTTTTGTAGTTTGGTGGGGTGCGCAGAAAAAACCGGTGCAAGCGAACCCGTCAAACAGTTTGTTGTGCGGGGTGGAAAAGAGAATGGCCGCTTCGAAAATTCTCTGTTGCAGTCACAGTAGCGCGTCACGCCCGCACCTCTCGTTGGTACGTTCTGTTCCAATTCTTCTTCCCTCCACCCTTTCGGCCTTATCCTCCTTGTCATCTCCTTCCTCCCGCTCCCTCCCCCCCCGGGCTTCCACCCACCTGAAGGGAAGAAGGCACTGAGGGGAAGAACGGGGAAGGTGTATGTGAGTGGGACCAAACAACGAGAGTACTCTGGCGTGATTGATTCCCGGGGTAGGCGTGCGGTTGCAGTCAACAATGACAGGAACTGTCGCACAGTTTGAAGCATGACGGTGCCGTTAACAATGTCCAACAGTTCGGATTCTACGGATTTTACTCAAGCACCTTGCCGCAATGAGCGTCAACGATGTCCTACTGAGGCTACGCCGAAAGTATACGCTTCATGCTTGGGTCCCCCGCATGAGCCAGGCGCCTTTCAGAAGTGAGAAATGTGTAGGCAACTTTCACCACTCATAGAAACGTTGGATAATACACCCAAATCATGTGTGTGCTTCGACGCGTTTATTGTCTCCCCTCTGACATGTTTCGATGGTCAACGCGCAGATATCGGAACCTCCAGCACTCAGTGGGACGACGGTGACAATTGGAGTGACGGGCCGGACGTGTGCCAGGGTATCACAGTCCATGACAACTTCATCAGGACAAAGGTCAGAGAAGAAGAATCGAACCTCGTCACCATGTTTACCACGGAAACAAATGTGCGCATTAACGTCATGGTAAATCACCGCAGAACATTTAGTTTGGAACTGAACTTTCTCATACGCTGTGCCGGAACCAAACATCACAGCGTCATGTTGCGACGATTATCGCGAGCTTCATGGCAGTTGACACGAGGTTGGTGATCTCAAACGGACAGACAGGTTTAGAATCGAATCGAAAATGGCAGGAAATTGTTAGTTGCCGGGCTCGAAGCCCGACCACGACGCAGAGCGCAAGTTTCCCGCAAAACGATTGCCCGTTGTGGTTTGATGCTTGGCGAATTGAGGGTGAGGTGAGATTCTCTGCGATCTGCTATTAGGGCGGTGTACTTTATGCAGTTGCGGCCGCTCCTCGCCGGTTACCAGATTACCAGAAGTCCGCCTTGTCCGCACGAACTCATGTTCGGTCCGTGGCCGCTACTGCACTGTACTACTTCCATCAGGGTAACGAAGGCATTGAAGTGAAAGAAGGAACCGTTGAAACCCTGATCGAGGGCAACGAGGTGTACATGCAGTACGACGCTGAGTCCGGAGGTGAGTCAGAGAGGCGAGTACAGAGAGATCAAACAGCTCCGGTTGTTCACACAACGAGTTGGCGAGACATTGATTGATTGGAATATGAAAACATTGAGTAACAGTCTTGGACCTGGTCTATCACATACCTGGGACGCATCTTAAAGATTGCCCCAATCGCCACAGGAGAAACAACGTTGTCACAAGTCTTGATTACTCGTGCAGCATTTTACACGATGCATCCGGCTTACGCAAAGCATGTGATGGGAATTCGTCTTCTCCGGGTGGTGTCATGCACACTGCGAAGTTTTCCGGAGCACGAAAGTGTGTGTACCCAAACTGTAGGCTTTTTCGATAGCGCAAGACGTTTCCCCTGAGATGCGTCTTCGCACCAACCTTCTGCGGGGGCACAGAAGCAATCGCGAATACCACTCGAGCAACTACAACGAAAGCAAATATCGCCATTTGTGGGCAGGCATCGGAAGCCGAGGTGACCGGAGCATCATCCGCTACAACCACATCGAAGACACGGACGGGGCGGGTGTCCGTTTAGGAGGCCACACGGTGGACGGCATTGAGTACGGCGCCAACAACCAGGTGCTGGTGTGACCTCAGGCATACACCGACAGTTCTGAGTGTATGCGATGGAAAGGTGCCGCGGTTTCCCCCACACGGGTAGCGCTTGTTTTCGTGACATTCAAAGGCTGGGCCAAGGAAGGTTCGTCCGAGGAAGTTTCATCTCACCCGAATATTTACTTCTGTCGTCAACGTGGTGGGTGTCCAACAGTAGGACGCTGCTCTCACCGTGAGTCAGATACTTCTTTGACCCCCATCCTACCTCGGTTGAAAGGCTGAATATTTCGCACCGTTACACAGACACGCACCTACCTGTCGACGGCTTCCCCAGGTCCCCCAGGAACTTGAACGCCGAGGGCGACATCGCCTCGTCGCCGATTTCGAATAGATGGTGTTTTCGAGCCGGAACATCTTCCCACGCATCGACTTGGAAGAGATGAGACGGTGTCGAGCAAGTCCACATACAACAGTCAGTGATGATTCAACCAACTCATACGCGAACCACGGCCTCCCGTCCCTCCTCCCGCCCCCCCGGCCCTCTACCTATCCGGCCCGTCCGCGCATGCAACAGGTATACGAAAACACCATGGTCAACTGCCGGGCCTCCGGAATAAAGGTCATGGTTACTCCCCAGGGTCAGATCTGCGGCAACGACATCGAGGTTCCTGACACCGATGATGACGCCGACGTGAGTGTTGAGCCCTAGGTTGGAGACCGATATTTTCCCTGGCCTGCTGTTCTGGTGGGTACGATACTCAAGGGTGGCGGGGGGCGTTACGGCCATCGATCACAAGTACTTGGTGGATACTTCCTTAGAAAAAAACCCAGATCATGGGGGTAGGAGCCGCTTTTCTGGCCTCCAAGGTTACTACCGAAACCTGACATATGTTTTGAACATGACCCACAACACCCGTCTCCATAGTAGAAGAGCACACAATAGGAGTGGCAAGTGGCTCTGTTGCAGGAATGTAGCTCGGTGCCGCGTCAGTCCCCGCTGAACCACGTCCGATAATGATTGATTCAGAGAACAAGCAGGAGCGCGGCCGCCTTTGCCACTCCTCTGAGCTCCGTCTTCCTCTCTCTCTCTTTCTCCCTCTCGCTTCCTCTCTCTCTCTCTCTCCCACTCTCTTTCTCGCTCTCTCCTTGCACTGGGCGTTATAAACGCAGTACAACTATTCCGGAGGAGCCTACTACTACGACCCGCTGATACCCTGTGACTCTTCGTCCTCATCGGCGCCTGGGTCAACCTCTGCATCGGTGAGATCGAAGCTCTTCTAGAATACACTAGCGAGAGAGAACACTAGCAAAAGAGAGACCGAGATACGATGGCGACAAAGCGTAGTGCGATCTACTTGTCTTGCTGGAGCCGTCCATTCGATCGCGAGATGTAGGTATGGGCCGTTCGTTCTTTGCTCGGGTAGCGAGACTCGTCCATTGTCTCCGATGTGCTGCTTGGTATCACAACTCCAGTAAGGTCTTGGCGCGTTCTGATACCAAACGTTTCGAATCGGCTGTCATTTGCATTTTGCCGTTTACATAGAAGTCGAAGTACCCGCAGCACCAGGTAGCAGTAATCTCTGGTTGTTCCGCTCTGTTGGGACTGGAAGCCGCTTGGTCTAGTTGTATTATAGGCTCCGCTTGGTCTTGTTGTATTGTAGGCTCGACACTTGATATTCGGGCGACCATGCATGGATAGATGCGCGGGAGGGAAGTTAAACACCGCCGAGGCGTGCAATGGGCGATTCACCCTCTGGCGTGGAAAGGTTCGGTTCGTGCATGCATGTGCGTGTGCACTTAGGGGCAGGATGTGAGCGAAGCCCTCCTCATGGGTGCAAGGCGGCGGCATGCGAGCCGCACAATATATCCGTGGCCGACGCGACCACGGGCCTTAGTTCTTCAGCCAAAGAGGCAACATTCGTGGAGTAGTGTAGCGCATAATAAGTAATGCAGAGTGCGCCCCATAGTGATACACTCCAGATGTGAGGATGGAAACGAACTACATGGAAAACAACGACTACAGTAACCCTCATAACAAGCGCGTTTCGTTGTCGTGTGCCCAGGTGACCCCGGCACCTGAGCCAACGCCCGAGGCAACGACCGAGGCATTTGCCGAGGCAATGAACGAGGAATCCTCCGAGCCAACGATCGAGTCAACAATCGCGCCAACGCCTGCGGCAACGCTCGAGGCAACGCCTACGGCAACGCTCGAGCCAACGGCTGACGCAACGATCGCGCCAACAATCGCGCCAACGCCTGCTGCAACGCTCGAGCCAACGACCGAGCCAACGCCCGCGGCAACGACCGTCCCGACGTCTGAAGCAACGATCGCGCCAACGATCGCGCCAACGCCTGCGGCAACGCTCGAGGCAACGCCTGCGAGAACGCTCGAGCCAACGGCTGAAGCAACGATCGCGCCAACGACCGAGCCAACGACCGAACCAACGGCTGAAGCCGGTGAGTATTTCCGAAGACAGACCAATCCTCCTGCCCTTGCTGTACGCTACCACTCAGTATGTTAGAATGTATGCCATAATGGAATGGGACATTACAAGAATGATACTGTAGTCCCAATGTGCCCCAAAATTAAAACCAGAACGGCACCACTATTTAGGGTGAATCGACCCCGTTGTACCCTGGGTTGGGGAGCCAAACTTCGAATATGAGTGGGGATAAGTATCCAACCATCATGATCCACAATAAGTAACCCACACGAACACACAAATAGCCATCTGGCGGCGGCGCACGTTTGAAGGTCTCCCTGGAAGGGCGACGTGAAGAAGGCGGTGGAGAAACACTACAGGGTACAAGAAATCTAAGCGATCGAAAAGGAACGCGTAAACGAGCATTGGACCTATTGGCGTCGCCGTGCTATCTACTGGGCAGTCACGCCGAAAAACATACATGATTCACAAGAGCAGGGACAACTCGTAGCGGGAGAGAGTGTTCCACACAGGAAAACCGACAGATGGTTCGAACACGTGAGGGGGAGCCGAAACGACACTAGTTCTTGGCCGACGCCAACAATGACGAGAAAGCAGAACATGCTTGCTGTGCGAAGTATTGGCAGACTGTTCCACTAGGAAGTCCCAGTACTTCTTCCAAAATGAAAGAAGACTGCTGATAATGCGGGAGAAGAGACAACGACAGCGACGTCTTGGCATAGAACAGCAGCAGGGGAACTGTCACCCACCGCATGGCCGAAGGATGAAAACATATTGTATGGAAAGCGTGCTATTGAGCTACAGCAGTATAGTGGGCAACATGAGTTTGGGGGAATAATACATAGCAGCACAACAAGTCCATCGAAATGAACACGAAATGAAGTAGTAGGCTGCGGTCCCGTACGTGTTATTGAGAAGCTTGGTTGGTCGCCCTGCTGCGCCACTAAAAAACAACAAACGAGCACACTCCGTTCCAACTATCACCAACATTTTTCGCGTACTTCTCGCGCCCGCACGACCCGATCTCCAACCCGTACGTTTCAAGAAACAGAGAGTACGTGTCGCGACGGCATTGAGGGCATCGACGGCCGCGTCGTCTGCTGCCCGCTCGAGTGTGGCCAGTGCGGAGGGACGGGATGCAGCACTTCTGGCGCCGCGTACGGTCTTGGCGCTGACTCTTGCTGTAGAGAACCGGTCAGTTCTAGCGGCAAATACTGTGACGACACCGGCGAAGCCCCATGCATCTACGGCAGTGCCCCCGATGCTGACGACGACGACGACGACAACGTCGACACCAACGAGGGTGATGCTGAGGACGACGATAACGAAGGTGAACGCCATAGCAGTCTGGTAGCCCAAGCATCCTGCCCGCTTACAGTGGCTATGTGCCATGAGCAAGGATATGCGTCGGAGAAAATCTTGATAGCAGTGCTGCCTGCACCTCAAAATTTCGAACTCACCATCACAAAACAAAACCGAAATTCATTGGACTTGTCCGTTTCAAAACAGAGAGTATGTGCAGTAATGGCCTCGAGGGCATCGACCACAGAGGCGAGATCTGTTGTTCGCTCGGGTGTGGCCAGTGCGGAGGTCCAGGATGCGACGCTTCTGGCGCTTCGAACGGTCTTGGCGCTGAGTCTTGCTGCCCACCAGAGGTGCACGATAGCGGCAGATACTGTGACGACACCAACGAGGCCCCGTGTATCATTATAGCCGACGACGACCACAACGACGACGATAACGACGACAACGACGACGATAACGACGACGACAACGACGACGATAACGACGACAACGACGACGATAACGACGACGACGACGACGACGACGACGACGACGACGACGACGACGACGACGACGACGATGACGACGATAACGACGATAACGACGACGATACTGCCTGAAGGGGGAGTATGAATCGGAGACCTAAACGTAGAGCGCCACATTTTTCTTCACCGTCAATCTCGTCCTATTCCGGACGGATGTCTGCACATTTTTTAACGACCACTGTGCGGTGGCATTTTCCATCAAAAGCAACAGGATCGTTTAAGTGGGCGATGCTCGCAAGTGCATTCCCATCGACCGGGGGGCAACTAGTGTCTCCGTTTTGCTTACGTTGCAACCTATTGTCTCGCCAGATCATCCTTGTAGTGTTGCTGCCTTTGGAGGGAGTGTTTTGAGGTATTCAGGGGTCGTTGCCGCGTACCACTCATCAAGCGAAACTGTTCGTTGCACTCTGGTAGTATTTAGCCTGTTTCGAGGCCCCACCTTTTGAGTCGAGGCCACGTCTTACGAGACGTGAATATGCCTCTGAAGCAGGACCGAAAGTCCGGACAAGTTTTGGACTCGGCTCATTAACCCTGAAGCGTGCACTGCCTCGCATGACGGGTGCCTGCACAATGTTGATACTATTTAGTCTACAATAGTTGTACGCAAGTTAGGTTTTTTTCAGCTGTTTTTTTGCTCAGGTATGGGTGGGTGTGCAATGCACGGAGGGGGGTGTTTTTTTTACCCCATCGACAACGTCGCCAATCATTTCTCAACCCGTTGTGATGGTGTTGCTTAGTTACCCATCTCGTAGGAGTACCGCTAATGTGGTATTATGAGTATGGTTTCGATGAAGTATATAGGCATTACTTTCTTTTTGCGAAGCAGCATATTGTACAATGCAGGTCTTGTTTTTGGTGTCGGGTGCTTTGGTGTCTGTTTTTCGCGGTTTCGAGGAGACACTCACGACACATGCGGAAGTTGTTTTTGGTCATGATGCGATTTTGGTCTACACCGCTCGAGTTTGAGTTGATCCTTTCAAGAAATGCTCGATATCGTGTCCGCATGTATGTACGACACAGTCAGGGTTACGTGTCACATTAATTTATTATTTTAAGCCTGGGTGCGCGTTTAAAGCCGACAGGTTGTTTGTTTTGTTCGGCACGACGGGTCTACTAGTCAAATAGCACGAGAGGAGTGTGTGAAAACAGGTACATAATGGATTGCATCGTGTACGTGGGTTCGAGGTTGTTAATGTACCCCTAAAACATTATTTCCGGGAGAATTCTCTTTTATAGAGGAGAAGGGGGGCTGGGGAAGCCCTATTGGCATTGTGTGACGAAATCCAGATATTTATCGCATCTACAGTAGCTCGATGTGCCCATGGACAACCTCCTGTCCAACAGCAGGACGTTCGCGTCGACTGCTAAACCTCTGGGCGATCGCTGGGATCGAGATTGATGGTCCTTGGACATACACTGACTGGAAAACAAAGGATATTGTCCAAGTGCTACCGGAGACAGACACATCTTGAGGAGATGTCCTCGAAACCTTTTACCAGCCAACCAGGTCCACCTCCCCACCTGTTCGGTCTCAAGATAGGCCCATACTTTCTAGAAGCACCTCATCGAGCCCCGCCGACAATTTCCTCCCAATAACCTTGCTCCAGACCACTCCAGACCGAATTGTTGTATAGGTGAGGTCTACCGTGAATAACGGGCGGCTCTTTACTATGCTCGCACTTACTAGGTGAATAAACACGACCGCCGATAGAGCCGAGGGAAGCCAAACCAATCAAAGTTGGGCAGCTTGTTTCGTATCGCCGGGGCTCACTCGAGGCAGCCTAGAGCTGCAATGCTTTGAGAGAGGTTCTAGCCAAGTTCCTTCATGTAGGAGCCTGTGTTACTTCAATACTCCCTTCCGCGGAAATTGCTTGAGATCAAGCAGAACCTATTCGACATTACGAACCAACGGGTCGGTTAATCATCACGTGACGGGCCACACCAATGGTGTACTAGTGCTGATGAACACGGAAGGAGTGTTCCCAGTGTACCTCGGGGAAGAACAAGGATGCTGGCAGGCAGCGAATATTGAGAACAGCTCCAGTTGTGGAGCTGTTCTCGATATGTTGGCGGGAAAGCAAAGGAGAAACACAAGGACTCCAAGGATTTCATCGGGACACTCATTAGTCTATGTGTCTTGGCATCGCCAGTCAGCCTCAGTCTGGCCGAGAGGTTTCAGGGTGGCCTTTCACGGTATCGTCGACGAAAGGATTGCTGCCAAGGCTGTTACTGCTGCCGACGGAGACGGTGCTGTCGTGGGGATCGCTGGTGGTCATCCAGTCGTCCCTGTGCTTGTCCTTACTGTAGGAAAACTCAAGAGAAGTAGGTCTGCGAAACAGGTTCTAGCTTGGATCGGATGGATGCCAGGCCCCCGGCTGCGCGTTGTCGAGGTAGCGCTGGGAAACATCGTGAGCTTCGGGCAGAGTCCTTCGCGAGTTACGAAACGGGGATGTCAGCGAGAAAAGGTTTTTGCGAGCGAAACCTAGCTTGACGAATCAACTACATTCCCTTGGGCACGCAAGGGAGAGTCTCGTCACGAGTCAGCCCTTATGGTGGTGTGCAAGTTCTGCACAAATTGTATACTGGCCGTTCCTACATAAATGACAAACCACAAATGTTACATGTGAGGAAATTAGAGGCCAGGAATACAGAATCAGGGCCGTCTCCTCTGTTCCGGCCGCTCTCCTGACAACTTATCTATCGAGACGGCCCTTTGAGTTGCTTTGAGGATGTAGTGTGGGAGATCACAAACCTTCGCCTGACCCGAAGTAACGTAACCACGGCACAGACTAGTGAATTCCTTACGTCCTGGTGGGACATTGTTTAGCAAGGAATATCTCGCTAATTTCAGTCACGTCGCGTCGGAGGATACGTGAACGAACTCTTGGACGGCTCGACGGGGGAATTTTTTGTGAACCAACCCCCAGAGGCGTTTGTTCGGTACCCTATCAATGAACACCGCGACATTGACGACCCCAGCATGCGCAACTACTGTAGGAGACCCCTGACGGGTGGGGGTGACAAACGAAAACGTAGAAAAGAGAGAAAGAGGTGCGAACGCCTCGGGGTACGCTATTGTCGTTGTCGTTGTCGTTGTTGTTGTTGTTGTTGTTGTTGTCTTGTCTTCACAGAAATAATTGCTTCGGTCTCTGCATAGTGCCTTGTAACGACAGTACCGGTGCAACGACCGCGTGGGTTGGTTGTTGGCGTGACCCAAAGAATGCCTGAGAAAATGAGCCGATTTCTTGCTCCACTCTACAACACTGTCAATGGAATCTCGGGAAACATCGACCGAAGAAGAACATGCTTTTAGAGGAGAGAATGGAGATCGCCAACTCTACAACTATGCGAACAAAAACATTAAGTGGGGTCGGATTCGGATATGTAGGTCTGAGAATTCCCACGACAAGACACTGAATCCATATCGGGGTTCAGAACTGCTAATTCGATTCTCAGATGCATTCTCGCCCGCCGTCGGTTTAGTCGGTTCGGTTGACGGCATCCTGTTTTCCCGTTTTCCTTTTTGGGAGCGGATGCTTTTTCTTTTTCTTCGAGGGCTCCCATGTGCTTTGTCCGCAGGTGTCCGTCCTTGAAGTATACAACGCAAAGCAAGAATTTGCTCCTTCACAGGAGAGTAACGGAAAAGTTCGACGTCTAAGATCCTGAACATCCTGAATTGAACGTGCTCAATGAGTTGAGAGGAAACCCTGCGAAGCAACTGTTCACTGATACGCGAAACTATTTTTTTGCAGCTGGCCGCACGGGCTCCCTACAGAGTACGAGAGAAGGTGCGTTTCAGACGCTTCTTCTCTCTCACATTCCGTGAGCATGGCGACCATTTACACGTGAAACTACGTCTCTGATACCAAGTTGCGCACCCGCGTCAGCCAATAGCTGCACCGTGAGCCTAACGCCTCGATTCTCCCCGAAACACCTCCTGTACTCGGTTGCACGACCCGGTTCCGACGTTCACGCCGTCTCGGAGTCGAGAGGTGACGACATTGCAGTTGGGGCGGATTCGTCTTGCTCGGCCGACGTTGTCACTAAGTCCAATCCAGTGCCGCTCTGCTTGTGCTCCTGCCTCATAGCAGAGTACCAATCGATGTGGAACAGGGAGGAAACGGACGATGATGGTTAGCTCGTTTCCCCTTACTCTGACTTTCACTGTGTTGCAGGTCCTGCTCACTCTCCACTCTCCTACTGTCAGTAGGTCCATGAAACAATGGCATCAGTTATGGTAGGGACCGGAACACACTTCCGAAGCGTCGGTGGCAGTCGTTCATCAGCTAGGAAGTGTTTGCTGGGCTCCTCCCGAACTACCCTTCCTATGTACAACGGGGAGCGTCCGGCGGCAGGCTCGACATACGCCCGACCATTCATGCCTCAGCTGCCACTAAGTTATCCATCAACATGCGCGGATTGGTGCCCGAGGTGTATATCATTGCATACCTCGACCCCCTGCAGGGATGAGGTACTCGTCCCCTTTCCGCCAAACGTTGAGTACGAAGGAAGCTCACTCTGGGCTTGCCGGTCGGTTCCCTTCGGCCTACTCCTAAGCTTTCGCCAGTGCCAGTAGGCCTGCCCCGCAAAGCGCACACCAAAAGAATACGTCGGTCAAATATTTGAATAGGCCCTGGGCAGGTGCAAGCTACTGAATAATGCCGTTCGCATATACATCACCTTAGATGTACTGTCTGACGTGGCCTTCCAATGCAACTGGCAGACAAGCGGGCTTGGTTATGCAGCGGCTTGGGCTTCTGCGTGAGGGAAAACTATTCACTCCTGTACTTGCTCCACCCAAAATGAAACTCCGCCACAAACAGCCATCACCTAGGTGTGTATTGCTGTTCCATGCCCACGGGCTAAAAGAACATGGGTATTTTAGTGACAAAGAGTGGCGACGACGACGTCACACACCAGACAAGCCGCAGGGTTCACCTAACGCGATCCTCTACCGCCAACAACCGAGATATGTTCATAGCATTGGTGCTACCGAGAGATCTCAACAAACTCACTTCAATAATAGAGTGAATGTCAGACACAACGTAAACCCGTACCTTCCAGTTGAATCGCCATTCTTTGCACCATATCTGCGGCGTAAGAGTAGTCACACAACCGCACGAAGAATGACATCCGAGCGACCACGATCAGCTAGAGTGCACGAAAGTCACAGTGAAGAAGAGTCCGTATAGAATAATAGCGTTAGCGTCCCTCGAAATCGTGGTGACGGGGTACGTATTCTTGCCAAGATACGAAGTGGCGAAGGGAACGCCTACACCTCGAGACAACGACAACGTTCAATGAACGGACAGTAGCAAACGAGATCTAGGCACATGATCGCTCATTCGGTGGACTATGGGTGCGGAGGAGCTCCATATGAGAGGCATGTACCCGTCGCTGCTATGTATAATATGGTTTGATATTCACCAAGCAATGGTGCCGGGGAAGTGACGCACTATGTACGGAACGTATCGCATTTCAGCCGAAAATATCCTTTCTCGCAAACTCGTATCATCAGGGAAAAACGAATCCACTTAGAACTCTTAGCGGCGGGGCCCAGTTGTGTCAGTACAGGCCGGTGTTCTTGACGTAACGAAAGTGGAGCCCCCAGAGTGTTTCGTTCACAAGGCGCATTCAAGTTTCATCAGAGCAAAGTCTTGCCTTGTCACCAATGGCGGAAGCTTTCCTGCTGTTGAAGAAGGAGTCCACAGCAGGAATTGCTAACGTCGCGGCCTGAAGTAACGTTCACGACCAAGGGCAAGGAATGGCGATTTCTCAAGGGTTGGTGCGAAATTGGCCCCTCACACCACGAAGCGGACAACGTTCGATAGCAACGGTACCCCGCTACCATACTATGTGATGGGCAATGTTTGAGCCCGCGACCTGCGTCTGATCGACCCTCCCGTGTGGTTTGGACAAAACATTATCACTCTCCACTCAATTCCGCCGAAAAATGTTGGGGCTATGGATGGACATAGGTGGAGGTGAGACCCCGGGATCTACAGCATGAGGTGGTTGGTTGTCGCCCCTAGGAGGGCAGTCCGTCTGTTCGGCTACGTATCATGAAGAGCGTGACTCTCGCTTGACTGAACGGGCGCCAAACAACCCCGAGCAATGATGCGTCTGCACTTCCCTGCATCTACGGCAGTGGTATACATTGCACTCGACAAATTTGCTGCATGACTCGCTCCTGAGGCTAGGACCGGGGGCATTGTGACGATGAAGCCCAAGTCACCCACGGTGGGCTCAATTATTCATCCACGAATAGAAGGGGACTACCGTAGCGCCGTCCAAAGAAAAACCGGAAGGCACGGTTGGTTGCTTCAATACTCCCTTCTCACCGCCATAGAGGTTGCGCTCAGGGAAGAGCTCCATCCCAGCGCGGTTTGCCCCACAGTGCTGGTGCCTACCCCCCAAAAGAACATCGCCGGGGCCCCTAGGAGCACGCTGAGCTTGTTCGACCTACGACGATTTGGGGGGAGTTGGTCGAGGCACGCAAACCGCCGCAACATTAACCAGGGGTCGGACATACATCAAGGCTTCAGGCATTCCCACCCGCTTCGCGTGGTACAACGTTGTTCAAGGCGTCAGTATATACAGCTTAGTGAATCCCGAGATTTACAGTTGTTGACAGCTTTTGCAGAGTAAAATCGAACCGTCGACACTGGGCGAAACGGCGATTAATCGAAACCTATGTCTATGTGTTTGTTTGCGTTTCATCGCACAAACTCTGAATGAGGTCCACCATGCGGCCGATGTCAACGACACGCGGTATCTACCTCGGTGCTTGGGGTATTGTTTATCCAGCTCGAACACTCTCCGCAAAATATAAGACAGAGCAGAAAGACACGATATACGCACTGCCGCTTGCAGTGCTCATGGCTGTCCGCGACGGGCCGGAATTGGTAGCTACTCCTTTGCCGTCTGCATACGACCTGTGAAGTGAAACAGCCACTGAAAATTCGCATTGATTTGACGGCGCGCGTGAAGGGTTGAAAATGGCCGCCCCTTTTGTTGGTTCGGCCTAACACCTTGAGCTCGACCCTACCTTTGATAGCCCTCCGTCAAAGCCCTGGAGTACGTTCGGACAGGTGACGAACACACAGCTGCTACAGCAGTACTGCTTTGCATCCAATCATCCATGTTCGACACGAGCTGCAGTAGTACACCCAGCGCAAGTAAGCATGGATCTCACCTCGCCTTTACACCAGTATGCTTCGAATCGGAATCATCGACGGATCCAGTCGTCGCAAGCTTCACGAGGGGGGCCAACGCGCACATGATGTAGAGCAGAATCAGTTGCCTCCCCTCTGCTATCTGTGGCAGGAGGAGCTGGAACATCTGCTTCGGGAAGCGACACCGAGAAGGATGACCGGATGACATCATAAGAATCAACCACAATACATGTTGTGGCCCCAGACTATGTACGGAAATGCGCGAACCGCATTTCGCCGCTGAGGTGCGTTCAACGTAAAATCTGCAACTCGCTCTTCCAATCGTACGCGATGCTCCCACGCAACGGCTAACTTTCTTTGCACTCACGACGACCAGCTTCCCGGGGATGAATCCTTCGATTTTCGCGTCCATTGTGCTTGGGTCGATGGTGATGGCGACGGTGACGTTTTGGAAGTCCGTGGTTGTGGTGATGGTGGGAAAATGAGTCGTGCAACGACACGGAGGGGGGGGAATAGACTTGAGATCGAGTCACGGGCGTCCAGCATCACGCGGAGGAGAGATGGGAAAGAAAATCTTAAGCATGTATTACTCTGGAGCGTTCCAATCTGGAAAAGGTGAACTTCCACAAAATACTGTATCGGGGTCAAAGACGAAGACAACACAAGAAACGGCAAAAATCCACGAAAATCGGGAAGTCTTTCCGGGATCAACGACGGCGAAGACACGACAATCTTGCGAACATCGGAATCTTTGTCGAAACGCTGAAAGTTCGTGTTCGACAGCCAGGCGACCACATAAGTCGGCTTCACTCGTGAGACGTACCGACATCTAGCCTAGACATAATGTTCATTCCACACCATGCGAGTCGGGCGTGTTGAAACCAGTACCCGCGCAAAGGGTTACTCGATGCTCGTACCATGTCTCGATTGTCCGGGAAACTCTTGCTACTCGAGGGGTCGCTCGGTCTGGCTTCCATGGTATTGTTGTACCCTACAACATGCAACTGTATTGTTCATTTTCGTCTCAAGTCTTGGTTGCCGCACTTCGTCCACACAGGTGGTATTAGGGTTCAACGACGTACCTCAATTTTGACCTGGCGTCCACGTCCTTCTGCTTGGTGGGGCAGGAGAAGAAGCAAACGCAACAGAGAGAAGAAGAAAAACAAGGTGGAGTCAACACTGCCCATCTTGAGTCGAGATATTCGTATCGAACGAGGCCCTGTTGCAATGAGCTCTCTCCACGGCGACCCCTGCCATTGGGCTGCGCGTGGGAACCATCTCTTGCGAAAACGAGAGACAGAATACACACAACACAGGGGAATTCTATGGTGTTCACACACCCTTTGGCCCCACCGATGTGAGACCCCAACACGCGGCGATTAGTTCAACCTGCAGATAAATATCGACAGGCGTCGCAAGCACATGTAGTAGGGCACTTCGTTGCAACAGTCACGTCAAATCGTTAGCGCGGAAAGTCAGCAAAAACCATGCGGCTGGTGGACAAGCAATACTTGTGCAATCGCCATCAGACCCCTGCTTTCGAATCGAGGTTGGGTTCAGTTCGGGTTGATCGGAGGTTCAAGTCCAGGCCCGTGCTCCTTTTCTTTCGAACCTTCCAAATTCCGACGGAGAGTCTCTCTCTCTCTCTCTCTCTCTCTCTCTCTCTCTCTCTCTCTCTCTCTCTCTCTCTCTCTCTCTCGCTCGCTCGCTCTCTCCGTGCTACTGCTTCCAGTCTCATCCACCCTCGAAGCCAATGGCAGCGGGAGCGACCCGCATGTCGTTCTACGTCATTTCGTTCCTTGCGGGCATTCATCCAATACGAAAATGTTCTAGGTTCTAATACTACAGGCGTGTGTCGAAACTTGACTAGTTAGGAGTAGGCTCGAAGAAAAAGATCGACTCAATGCGACAGCTGCAGCGATTCTTGCGGGAGTCAACTTGGAACGCCCCGCGGTTTGATTGGTGTTGGAGTCGGTGAATTCTGCGACGACGTCCAATACAGCAGCACCGGTAACAACAACAACAACAACTATTTATTACGACCACGACGACGACGACGACGACGAAAATAAAAAAAAACAGCAACAGCAGCAACAAACAACAGCATGGCAAGGAGCTCAAGCAAGCACTTGCCTTAAGTTGACCTGCTCGGAGGGCGTACAACTTGCGCATGTCCGTGTTCCCTCGAGCCAGGGCGTCGATCATAGGAGTGTCCTCCCTTTCCCCCTCGTTGGTCTCCATCATCTCGCTCACCTGTTGTTGTTGTTGTCGTCGTGCCATTGAGAAACAGACCCAGGAGTTTTTTCACGCGTCGAAGCCCGGCCGCGCTTTGTTGTAGGTTCGTACTTCGGTAGGCATACATTATTGGTTGTCACAAGGTCCGTTATGACATCACGATTTGTTTATTGCGGACGGTGATGACCCAAGACCGGTCTGGAGAACGTTGACTCACTCGCCATGTACGTAGCGATGACGCGATGTTTGGGAAACGTCCCACTGCCGCTTTCCATGACCCGTTCCAACCCATCCGGGCCAGAAAAGGGTTACAACGCTGACCGGGCCTTGAGAACCATGAAATTCCGTGTCACACCGTGACATCAATGCAGTAGTTGGTTGAGGATCTGGCAAACAACAATACTCTTGCAAGTAGTTCTCTGGGTTAGCAAAACATAATAATAGTCGGAAAAGGGCGCCTTTTGGCACGCTCCTTCGTTTTTCGGTCTTCGACTCCTGACTACGATCACCACACACCACCACCACCGCCCGCTGTGTGTGCCTAAGTCGCACTCGGGTTGGGGTGCCACGATGAAATGATTATCCACGGTGCTGCGCTTGCCGGAACGACTTGCCGGAACGGTTTGTCGCGCACAGGCTCACCAGCTCGTCCTGGAGAACGTCGCGGACCGCCCCGTAGGCGGCTTCGAACATCATCTCGTGGCCCGACAGCAGGGCGTGCGTCAGGACGCTTCTCCCCCACAGATCCACCGCCTTCAGCTGCTGCAAGACCTGTCGAGGCCGTCGACGCGTTTCGTTGTTAAGTATGCCAACACAGAAAAAAAAAACACCAATTTGGTTTCCGGGTGGTGTTTAGCTTTTTTCAGGTACCAACAAAGAGCAGCACCCACAAAGGAGGGAAGAAACAAAGTAACGACAGCAACCAACAATCTACATGCTAGCGCACACCACAACTAAAAGAAGACGGATAGTCCAAGGCTGGCCAGGCCAAGATCATCCCCAAGAAACGAAAAATCACAAGCTGCCATTGGCCCAATCCTTTGAGATGTCATCAGGTTCTCGAAAACAAAGCCACCAGCAGGGGACGCCGTTTAGAATATTGACTCTTTGAGTATTGGGAAAAAAACATTTAAGCGCAGCAACGTTGTATCCAGCAAAGGAACGAACGCAGGCTGTACCCCCCGCGGCCTCACCTCGTCGGTCCAGAGGCATCGTGTCACAAGGCGAACAGCTACCTTGAACACCGGCACCACGACGGCATCGCGCTTGTTGACGCCCTTTTCCTCCTTGGTGTCGGCCTCGACCGTCTTCTCGACCGCAGTCTTCTTGTCCTTTGCGGCATCGCCTGCAACCGCGCCGCTGCTGGCGTCTGCGGGCGACGTGCCTCCTCCTGTCAGCGCCGTTTTCGAGGCTGTACCCTTGCTTCTGCTGCTCTCTGCGGGGCCCCCATCCTTCTTGTGGCTTGAGTCGGGGTCGACTACCGCAGAAACAATATCACACACATTTCAATAGCCGAGATCAAAGGGACAAACAGCAGGAGGTTACCCGGCGAGCCGGGGGGGGGGGGCGCACTCTTATGTTTTGCATGCCTTAGCGGTTGAAATCGAAAGTCAACGCGGCAGTGGGCAAAACCCACCTGACCTGTAGTCCTATAAGGATTCATTGGCATCGGAGAACGGGGGCCGGGGCAGCGAGGATAAATAGTGTTTTGAACGATGCGGGGAGGTTGCTTGCCTGGCGGGGTCTCCGCGGGGACGAGGGCGGAGGCGGGAGCGCAGCAGGAGGCCGCGTGCATGAGCAGGTTTAGTCCGTCCGAATCGCGCTCGACCATCATTTCTCTCAGCTGGACGACAACGTCGGGGTAAGAGACGGAGGGTCGGGGTCGGCGTTAAAGCGCGCACAGATTACAGCAGGGCCAGTTGGAGAAACCGGTCGTAGATTCTTTCGGGCTATTGCCGGTCGATCGGCGGGTATCATGAAAATGTAAGACAGACCAACACGCAGGTATGACGGATCGTAACCTGGACCAGTCAATAAAATCATGGTATTTCCGCCTCAAGGGCCAAGGCAATGCCATCCCTTAGGTGTACCGCCCCGCCTATTGAGTCAGAAAACAACAGCGAAAGAACAAGACGGTAGGTAGGTAGGTAGGTAAGGCCAAACAGTTCCAATGAAGTGCCCCGGCTTCGAGAGCTGAGAAGAGAGGCCGTTTCATGACGAACCGTACCGCTTGGGGTCTGATGAACCTCTGGCAAACCTCCGAGACCATGATAAGCACCATGGAGTCGCCGGAGGCCGCCGCGTGCATCAAGATCGTACGGCCATCTGCGGATTGGCGCATCAGATGCCGACAAAACCCCTGCACAGCAGTGTTTAGGCAGAGAGGTTCGAAGGGAGGGAGGAATCGCTTGTGTCCTATGTTGCTGCTGCGGGCAGGCTTGCTATATGATTTCGGCGGGAGGGTTGCAATGCGCGGCAAACCTGTCTGTTCTCAGGCGAAATTCATAGAGTATATCACGAAAATCTCTTTCTGGCATAAGGATATGGTTCTTATCCTCGACACAGCTGTCCATACGAACTGACATTCCCACATCTTGCCAACACTTGGTGGGTACACGAGATACTACTTGACGATGGAAGATTGAAAGGGAATTGGTGAATAATTCCTCTCGATACGGATCAAGACCAAGCGCCGCAGGACGAAAGAGGGGATACAAACACCTCCTGTGTGACTTTCTTCCTGCATGACAACAGCAGCTGGTACGTCCAAAGCGAACGGCAAGAAGAAACAAAAACGCATGAACACACACCGCGCAAAACTGAGTCTCCAGTTTCCATCATCGAACCACAAGTGCACGGTACTGGAGATAGCGGCAAAAGAAGAACAACGCCGTGCATGATACGCAGTTGCGTGACTGCTACTAAGCCCGTCTCTTTGCAATCTAGCTTCATCTCACGTCCTCGTCGCCTCCGAAGGCTTTGCGCATAGCCTGCTGAGCCTCCTGGAATATTGGGGCAGGGCCGTTGCTGGCTGCGTGCATCAGCAACGTCATGTGTTTGTGATCGTGTAGTTCGAGGGTCGCCAGCGCCTGTGGGAAACAAAGGCAGGAGAGACAGAGAGAGCGGGTGAGACGGGCAAAAAAGGACGGGGGGGGAGAAGACAAGACAATGGACAGGTGCGACTGACAGTGCATGCCAGAAACATAGAGAATACGCGGACTAGAGAAGAGACCCGCTTGTATCGCGTTATTTTATTGTTACACATCGCACACAGAAGAAGACAGTCCCCGTGATGCGAAGACGCTCGTTGTGCTCCTACTCAGCTGTACCTCCGTGTTGTAGATCTCCGTCAAGAGCTCGCCGAGCACGGCTACGCTGGAGCTCCGCGCCGCCAGCATCAGTGCGGTCATCCCCTCCCGGTCTCGATTCGTCAGTTGTGTCCTCATCTCCGATTCCCTCGCAAGCTGTGCTCATAGATGGGTCACGAAGGGAAACGAGACACGCCAACAAGAGCATGCATATCGGGGTGGAGTCTGGGAAGGAGCAAGTCGGGGGATGGAGGGCTGTGCTAGAGATAGCTGCGGAATCGAAACAACTGCGTGCTGTCTATTTCGGAGGAGAGCACACACAGTAGTGTGTGCCCGCCAAGAGCGGAAAATTAGCGCAACGGAAGCTCGTCGCAGACAGTCTCAGCTCACATACGGTCAACAACACGAGAATGTTTCTCCTTGCACCCATCTTGCGAAGGGCTAGCGTAGGAGACAATAGTGCCCAAGACTTCACGCGAGCAACAACACCTCACACGGCTGTGCTGCCATTGAGTCCACCGGGTTGCTGCTGCGCGTGAGACAAAAGTGAGGCCGAACCTTGTTGGAGTACTGCTGGTTGAGAGCTTGTAGCGTTGCCGTACACGTCGCTAAGTCTCCCGTTGCGGCCGCGGCCATGAGCGGCGTACGCATCTTGTGCTTGGCGAGAAGACTGGGGGTAGTGAGGACGGACGTTTCACCCCCCGGAAGGTCTGACAACAAGCGATGAAGGTCTTCTATGTCACCGTCCTCGATGCAGGTAAGCAGGTTGTCGGACTCCTCAGCGTCCTTTAGGCTGAACCGGCGCTCAATCCCGAGGCCTGGAACCTGTAGTCGGAAGGTTGACGTGGTTGAAAGAGGGACGGGGAGGGGACGTTGTACGCTAGTGGGTACGCAACTACTACTACGCACAACACCTGCTTGTCACCAGTTCATTCCAAAAAGCTGAGGATACATCTCCCTTGATAGCATAGGAAACTAGCGGATCTCCCCTAATCCTTAACAGCGGTTTGGCCAAAAACAAAAGAGCAGCACAGTTCCACACGTTCCACGCTTCCGCTCGAACCCACACAAACACCGCGGTTGGCTACCACGCCACCTGCTCACAACCCTGATGCCAGCATACGCGAACCTCTTTTTCTTTGGCGCGCACGCAGCTACACTGGCATGGCGGTGGGACATCAGATCGTTTCTTCAATCGATGGCCGTGTAGCGCTCTTGCAGGATTCCATGCGCATGCGGGGGGTGAGGATACCTATTGCATGTGTAGATGCGTCGACGCTTGCATTTGTATCTCTGTGCCTTGGTGCGTGGACTGGTACAATTTTGCGCTTGGCATGTGTCAAAGCGTCGATGCTTGAGTTTATACCTCTGTGCGTTGGTGTGTGGACGAGTACAATCGTACACGCTTGTTCTTTGGAGATGCAAGTTGGTCCAACCTTGGGCGTAGGAGGGGACACGTTATAGGCGTGCAGTAGGCGCCACGTCTGTAGCTGTAGACTACTCTACCATCACCTCAGCGTGTGTTATAGCGCGTGTAATTGTTTAAAGACGCGGAGAAAAGCCCGCTCCGTGATAATACTGAGATCTTGCTCGTTATTGACTTCTGCTTGTAGTGGAAACATTTTCTTGCCCCCTTCTTAGGAGGCAAAAGTAGCCCGTAGCCCGTGGCCATTTTCGCCTCGCGTTACACGGTTATGTCAGCAGGACGAACCAATCGCCCCCCATGGCCTAGTGGTTAACCTTGCAAGCCTACATTTTAGTAGTAGAAGGTTGCGGGTTCCTTTCTCTCTCTGGAGGGTTTTCTTTGCCTATTAATTTTCAGTGGAAAGCAAAATTATTTTCGACTTCATGGTCAACGCTGACGGAAAGGGGCGGCTGCACCCTTGTTGCGATAAAAACAAAGTATGCTGCAGGAGGAAACGTGGGGGGGGGGGAGGTGTACTCATAGTCGTGCATGCCGTAAGTCGCTAGACCATTGACCTCGCATCTCTACAAAGCCGGGACGGAGCACGCCGGGTTCTCACCGGACCAGGCTCTCACACCACCACGTGCGAAGCGTCGTGAGGTATTCGGCGAGTCGCATGAAGGGTGCGCCGCATCCTGCTAAGGGTGTTCGGCATCTTGTGCATACTTCCCTGCGCACGGATGGCAGATTTATTTTCTGGTGCTTTCACTCCCAGAGACAGTTAGAAGCACGGTGTAACTGCCTCGACGGTGCTTGACCAATTTAACACAACGTGGTGCGATCATCCCCTTTGCGCGGAATGAGGGTTCTCGACCCCCCACAACATTATCTACTCGACCACCATTCAAGATTACCGCAAAAAACGGTCACCTGGTTGCCTAGCTCACGAAGTGATCGGCTTGTACGACGAAAACCCAACCCCGATGGCAAACACCGGGGGGGGGGAACCGTGGGGAGGGAAAAAATAAACTCTTCTGGCCTTCGTCCTGTGTGACCTCTCTTGATACGTCAAACGTTTCATGGAGAGGTGTGTAGACTGGCGCCAGCGTAAGTGAACGGACACACACGCTAGCCTTTCTTGAATCGCATGCAAGCTGTAAGCTGGGGACGGAGCCCAGTGCACGGAAATTATGCTAGGCTGGGAGAAATACATGATGGAGCAACAAGGTTGCTTAGAACCTCTAGCGTGTTTAATTTTGTCTTCATCCCGCCATTACACTGACTTATTTCAGTCAGCAAGTCAGCGCGGTCGATACAAACTCAAGAAACACACGCACGCACACCTTGAAGTTGGAATGCTGCTTGTAAAGAATGGATTGCAACCAACAAAGACCGTAACCATTGCAACACCAGGACAACAGCAGTGAGAGCCGCCCGCGAAGAAGGTTTACTACCGAACCTGGTTGATCCACCACATGACCCCCATCGGAACCCCACCGGGATTCTTCTTGTAAGGACAGTCGGTCCCGCTTGGCGTTGCCAACTGGAAAAAGGTCGAACCTCAACCAAAGGCAGAGCGATGAAAAAAAAGAGGTTCCGATTTTTTTTTCGAGCCGCCGTCTCTCTCAGTGTATGTTTGTGGATGAAAAGTGTTCGCTGATGCAGGTAGCAGCCTATACCCTTCAGACGGGCAACACCGGTGTACCCACATCACTTCGGTGGTACCGCTCCAGTACTTGGCCTCTGGTTTGTTTGAACAGAGCACATCAAATATGAACCAACTCTGTTCCCTCTCGTGGGCCGTGATGATGTGTATTTACCATTGCACAAGTGAACTTTGAACATACCAGCTAAACATGTCGCAACATCGCCGAAGCCAAGTTGCGATCTGCTTCGCCGGTGCACGTATAGCACACACGCCAGGCTGCTGGCGAAGACCCTGAGCTCAGAAGAGCGGCTGTGTAGGGGAATGACTTTGGCTGCGGCTGCAACACTCAATGGTGTACCTGCTGCCGCCGTAGCGAGGGCGTTCAGAATACGAACCTACACCTTGTCCTCTCACCGAAGGTGTTCTGCTGCCGGCGCTAGGCGAGCCCTGCATGCTTGCCATGTCCGTGGAACTGCGGGAACGCCGAACCTGTATACCCGTAGCAGCTGCTGCTTTTCGTCCCCGCTGCTGCCAGGACTACACGGGACGAGAACAAATACTCTCCCAGACTACTACTGCTGCTGCAGGATGCAGCAGTTCGGATATTTTTCCAGAGGGGAATACGTTCGTGAGGAAGACTGGAGGCCGACATTACAGTAGGTCACAGACAACCATGGTTGTGCATAGAGTTGGAATGGTTAACCAGTGACCAGCGAACCAGCATCTTCCTTCCATGGTTCCCAAACCAAGAATCCGTGACAGTCTCGCCTCGCCGTTCGCGCTAGTATGGCTGTCGGTATTGAACATGGCGACCGCACACAAGGATAGCACCGTGGGGGGTTGAATATCAGGGGGTTGAACATCAGGAAGAGATTCACACGGGTGCGGGTTCAGCAGTCCCCCGAGCTAAGCGTGTTTTCATCACCGACGTTTTTCTGTTGGGCAGCGTTATTTGCCAGGAGGTCTCGGTATGCACGTGCGGCGCAACATCTGCGTTTGGCGCGCATGTCTTGCCAACGCGTGAACGACGATGTGCGACACAGGAGAGAGGCTGCGCCCCCCTCCTTTTCACGGGCTTGTGCCTGTTCCTTTCCTCCCCTCTCTCCCCTCCTACGGAAGCAACGCCGAAGAGAACCGAACGAGTTCACACGATCGGACACCACCCGTTCACCCGTTTATCCACAGCGGTTGCACCTACCGCGGTGCAGTTACACCTGAGTTACACAGTTCACCCGTCACCAGTCCCGTGTGGGCGAGATGACAAACGCCTCTTTCATTGATTTGGGAGAAAAGTGGAGGCGACCCCGCCCGTCCGTCCGTCTCTGTGTCTCTGTTACGGTGACTGTGCCGCACTTCCTCGTTGGGCGAACACACACACACACACCTGGTGGTCAATTTCTGCGTTCGTTCCAGGTATAGCGGAGACTGCTGATGGTGAAAACGTGGCCAACGAGACCCAAATTGGAAATCTAATCAGTGGTGAGAAATTTGCTTAAAGCTGTCTACGTGCTACTGCTGTATGTACGCTAGTTGAGGCGTGAGAGCAGTGCAAACAGCAAGGGTGCGGGAACATGTACATGTGTCCCTGTGCCGCTTCTCTTCTTCGTGCGCTTGATTCGTGGTGCTGTATCCTCATTTCGTCTGTGACACCTGTCGGGTGATGCCGTGTCCACTACGTAGCTGCAAACATTTTCTGCTGGCGTGCCAGGACAGGAGGCAAGCTGCTGACGACGACCGGCGTCGCTGTATCATGAGACTACATAACGTTACGGATGAGAAACCCAGAAACGCGTACCAGGAGAGCTGACATCTGTGTCTCTAAGTGTGGGGGATTTATGCAGAACGTTTTTGGGCGCACTTGAGACTCCGTTTCGCCCGCTCCCAACAGCCTACACATTGGTGGTTGCCTGTGTCCTCCCAAACCTCGTCTGTACGCCTGCTAACAGCAAGGGTCCTCGGCGAAGCAACGAGCTTTGGAAAAAGCCACAAAACTAGCGATGGGTCCAGCAACCATTGCTGGCGATGGGGACCATCATCACCACCACCACGTGCCGCCGCCTTTGCTCCTCCTCCAGCCGGCACACCTCCGGCTCTACGGCTACGACGCTGAGTTTTCCTTGCCCTCACGACGACGACGGCTGCCCGCCGCCGACGGCCCCCCGTTCAAGACGGCAACAACAGGAGCAGCAGCAGCAGCAGCTGGAAAATACACCCCAGGCGTCGTCGGCGGTGGTAACAGTGATGACCGCGACGAAGAGGGCCAGGCGACTGCAGGAGATGCGTTTGGGGCGTCTAGTAGTGGTGCGCCCGCTAGCCGACGGCACCACTCTTCATCGCCGGAAGCTGGCGCAAAGCAGCAGCAGCAGCAGCAGCATTTCGGCGCCTCGGCGCTCCAAAGAGAGGCCCGTTCAGGCAGCAGGCGAACAAAGCTGCCGTTGCCGCCCCCGGCCATGTCGGCGAGATGCCAGGTGCACCCGGCGGTCATGCAAGACCTAGGGCTCTACCCCGGCGACCCTGTCTTGGCGCTCACCCTTGTCGGAGGGCGGTCATCTTCGGCGGCCGCTGCTTCTTCCCTTATTTCGGCCGCCGCAGCGGGTTCTGAGAGCGTCGGCGGTACTGCTAGCGGCGTGTTCAAGGGCCCGGCACCGACGGCAGACAACTTCGCCCCGGGGGGCACGTTGGAGCTCCGGTGCCTGCTATGCACGATCTGGGCCAACCCGCACCTTGCGCTGGCGGAGACGGCTGTCGACGGCAGGATTCACATTCCGGTGCCGGCATCCGCCCTTGCTGTCGCTGCCCCGTCCGATGCACCCCTGCCGATAACCGGGGCGGTGGCAGCCACTACCGAATGCCCGGCTGATGCCCCGTCGCCCCCCTCCGACGCAGCAAGAGCCGCCGCCGCCGAAAGCCCGAGCCCTACCGCCACCACTGTCGACCCCCCCGCGCAGAATCTGATCGCTCGATTCCTGAGGGCGGCGAACGCCTCCGGACGGGAGGCGGAGAAGGACGGCGAGGGTTACCAGGTAGTTGGAATCGTTCCTGTGCGTTCTTTGCGGAACGGTCCTGGAACCGGTACGCCGGTGGGGCGTAGGGCTGGGCGCGGGGGCGATGCGTCACCACCCGCGGCGGGGAGGGTTTCCGCACGGGTGCTTCGGTCCTCGAGGCGACACCGGGGCTCCGCGGTAGGATTTTTAGGGGGGATGGGTGGCACCGCAGTGGCTGCGGCGGCGGGGGTGACCGGCGGCATTCCGGGGGAGAGCGATGCGTCGTCGCTGCCAGCCTCACCGCCGGCGTTTGAGCACTCGTTCCAACAACGGCAGCAGCAGCGGTATCTTCCACCCGAGTACACGTCGTTGCTCAAGCGCTCCCTGAGACATCTCGTCGTGACAGACAGCTGCGAGGTCGCCGTCCCCTCCTGTCCGCGGAGCACGGGCACGATTCTTGAAGGACCTACGGCGGCGGGGGTGGGGGAGTCAGCGAATGGCGATGGAGGTGGTAGTGGTGATGGTGGTGGGAAAGAGCACCTACCGGCAGATGGCACAACCTTCCTTCGCATTGGCGTCGGGGACAAAGGTGGCGGCGACGGTCGCCGGGGAGAGGGGGGCGCCCTAACCTCGCTGTTGGGCGGCGCGGTGTGCGTAGTGGGGCCGGAGTCGCTGGTTCTAGTGGAAAGTGAGGAGAGTAGAGGGGTCGGCGCGAGGGACAGTGATGTCGAGGCGGGACCACGACACAAAGGGGTGCGGGTACTGGACGGCGCAAGCGCGGGTGGAAGGGGGAGCCCTGGGAATGACCGACAACGTCGAGGTGGGTGTGGTTGGAGAAGAACGGCTTCTTATTAAACGCATGTATGGTTGTGTACATATTGTCGCGAATGCTGGAGGTAGGAGTGTGTTTGGTTCTGCTGCGTCTCTTGGTCGTGTGAGTCAGCCTGGAAGAACTGCTGCACTACGTGTGGATTGCTCGTTCGTTCCCTCGCCGAATTTTGCTATTTAGGAAAATCCCCCCAAGAATTTCTACCTACCCAACAAACGCATTATTCCATCAAAACCGCACCAATAAAGAAGTCGACTACTCGGGCTGCTTTCGCCCTCCCCCCCCCACCCCATCGCGCCTGTTTGTCGCAGAGGAAGTATCACGTGAACCAAGGCCGCGGGACGGCGGCAACAGAGGGGTGAGGAAGGTTTCCACGATGACACCGACAGAGGCGTTGATGGAGCTAATGCTGCTGCCCATGACCGCGACAACACCGGCCAAGGCGGCCGGAGGCGCTGGTGAGAACATTCCCGAGATCAATTTTTTTTTAGTTGAGGGGGGGTAGAACGAGGCTGTGTTCTCCCTCTCACTTCTGTCGGTCCCCTGTGTCTTTTTTTTTGTCCGAGCTGCAAACGCGTAAGGCTCGAGACCTCTGTTTTTATCCGGGTTGTCTCGCTGACGGTTCGCTCTTTTTTCGCTTTTTTGTTTCCTGTGGTTTTCCACGCAACGTGGTTGCTTTGGCGCAATTTGCTTGTCCCAAGTGAGGCGATATTTCGCTTCTTGAGGGCTCAACAAAGCGTTGGTGGTTGTCAATGGCCCCTCTTTGCTGCCGTTGATCGATCGCCTCAAGAACGCAAGTTTTCTGGGATAGTTTTCGAGACAAGATGGACGCCTGGGTGTGTCGCCCTAAGCTGGGTATGCCGTTTAACAGCTGTCAATACGTCTTGCACTATTCGTACATCATTCGAACATGTTGCCCCTTACACCCCGCCACATCATTCCACTCCTGCGCTGCTCGCCTGTGCCAGAGCTGAAACCGTTGGAGTCCTTGGTCCCCAGAGGCGTGTTGCTCACGGGACCCCCTGGGGTAGGAAAAACCTTCGCCGTCAGGAGCGCTGTTGAGGCCGTGAGGAATGCAGCTCCTCGCCCTTCTTTTTCGGGGACGGGACGAGGAGAGATGGACGGCCCGTTCCAGGTGATACCCCGTGCTGTTTTCCTCCCTCCCTTGCAGAGTAGTTTTTCTCTTTGATCATACAGAATGAGCCCGCAGTCAAGAACTATTTCGCAAATGAGGCTCATATTTTCACGAGAACTAATGAAAAGAGGTCTTGAATGAAACAGTCGTGGGTGCTACACTACACTTTAAATGTAAGAACTTGTGCTCCACAGCAGTAGTTTATGGCGACGAAATAAAGAAGTCGAGCCTTGACCCGATTGTGAAGTTTCGCTTCCAGGCCGGTTCTGTAGCGCCTTTGTCTGCCTCATGCTTTTTAGGTGTTCCATGATGTTCATGACTTGTTTTAGGGTTTGGAAGTTGTTGCTGTCGTCTTCTGACCACGATGCTCATGGCCTTGTGTTGTTGGTAGGGGGGGGCGGTAGGTCTTGCTATCCGCCGACCCCCCAGGAACGTGTATCCACTTGCTTGACGTGGTTTCACGCCTCACTGCTGCGCGCACGAGACGCAGCCATTCAACAACGCCGCATTGGGTTCAAACTCGACTGCCCTTGAAACCTTCACGCCAACATGACAAGGGCCTCGCTGACGGCAAAGCCAGGACCCATGAGAAAACTCTGGCATCGTCATCTTTCTCTCTCAACCCCCGGGCGCCCCTCACCAAAACATGCATAATTCTCTCGTCTACTGATGTGTTGTTGTTGTTGTTGTTGTTGTTGTCTCCGCGTTTCAATCGTTCCGGTGTCTACTCGGTGCCCTCTAATACCTGTACTGGTCCAGATGACCCCGGGCGCCAACTGCCAAACAAAACGGAAGTACACACTCTAGAAATCATATTCAAACTTTTGTACACCCGGAAAATCCTCAAACAGAACAGAACGCAATACACAGCAGAGAGCACGACAGACCGGGAGGCGATCGAACACGAGTGTACGGGCTCAATACTCTTCCAAACGTGCAGCTGCCTTTTCGTTTTGTTTTTCGGGGGGGGGGCGCAGGTTCGACTGACGACGCTCAACGGCGCCGAAATCCTGTCGCTCGGGCAGTGGGAAGCCTGCCAGGCGTTGCGAGACGCGTTTTCTGCGGCGGAAGAGTGGAGCAAGGGCGAAGGGGGGGGGAGGGCGAGGGGTAACAGATGTGCCGTCATATTCCTGGACGAGGCGGACGCTCTGCTAGCCAGGCGAGCCCCGTTTCGGAGGCCTGAGGCTGGCAGTAAGGCGTTTGCTGCTTGCTGCTTTGGGGTGCAGTAGGTTTGGTGGGGCGGGGGTAGAGAATACAGAGAGAGAGAGACGGAGAGATTGATATTAGAGAGAGAGGTACAAGAGAGAGCAGGCAGACAGACAGACAGACAGACAGACAGACAGACAGAGGCAGAGAGACAAACAGAAAGAGAGGGGCAAAGATAGAGACACAGAGCGAGAGAGAGGGACAGATGGAGGGAGATGGAGAGAGAGCGTGCTTTTATGGGTGTGAAACTAGTGGTTCTTCTTGATGTGTTGCGTACCCCCGTTTTTATTTATTTTTGTCTTTGAAAACTGAAGCTCTTGGGGGTTTCCTATGTTTCGACCAGGCGGGACCGAGACGGCGATAAAGCCGGGGGTGGGGAAGGCGCCAGGGCGCTGGCACAGCTGCTGACTCTGATGGACGGCTTCCGAGGGGCTGAGGGATCGTCGCACGTGATCGTAGTCGGGGCTACCAACAGGTGTGGTGGTCAATCAACATGCTATTATAAGACGGACGTTTGCTTTTTTTTTTGTCGTGCAAGGCCCCACAACGAAACCATCACTATCCGCAGATAAAAAGAGTCCGGGATGAAGCTTTGTTTGTTTCAGTGCATCGGCGTGCGACGATGGTTTTTGTTTTTTGCTCTTACACCGATTTTTGTGGGCGCATTAAGTTGCGAGAAAGTTGAAGTTTGCTATTTTTTCTCACAACGTTTCTCATGCGCGCTCTTTATATGGGAGCAATACGTTTCGCATCACAATTTTGGAAACTTTTGCTTTTGACAATAGTCGCGCGATCTGGATCAAAAGTTTGCAAATTTTCCTCGCGACTAGACTACACTATCGAACAAAAATTTCGCGGCGAGACTTCCGTCCGTCCGCGCCAAGCACCTGCCCCTACCATTCGGGCTGGTCTTGTCCACTTTGGTGCTTTCCACACTTGACATCCACGCCAACAGTTAGAACAGGAAGATCCACAGAACTGTGGGAGTAAAATGGTGGCAGGTCCTAACCGCTTTGTAGCAAAACCAGACCTAGAGTTTGAGTTGAGTGATCGGCATAACTACCAATAGGCTGTGGAGGTGTTGCGGTGCTGGTTTGCAATTGCGTGGAGATGGATGGGTAGTTGGGGCAACGGCCAGTGGCCTCCTTGAGAACTGCGCGGGCCGGCAGTTGTGTGTGTCGATGTGGGGAGACAGGGCAACGGCCAGTCAGCCCCTTGAGAGCTGCGCGGGCTGGGAACACCCTACCTTATTGCACGAACTCGATGGAAGGGTTGCAGCATATGCTGCGGTTACATCAAGGTGGCACTGGTGACAGCTTGCTGCTGCTGCTGCTACTTGTCGCGGTGCTGTTAGTCAGCAATGCGAGGAGGGTATCATCTTGTGCTCAAGGAAAGATTGGTGGTGGAGCGTGTGTGGTGCGCGAGTTTGAAGACTGTACCTCGTGCTATGTTGCAACGTGCCGTGAAAGTGACATCAGTCGTGCACTCTTCGCTATCTTGCCTCCAATAGACCGAATTTTGGTTGCCGTTGGAAACTCTGGGTTTCCGTTTCGCTGAACTATGATTTCAATTTAAATGATTTTTGATTTATTTCAAATGGTAGTCCGGATGTTCTAACCCTGTTGCTTGCTGGAACTGCCGGTGGAAAAAAAAAAAAAGGTGGTCTTGTCGTTATTTCACCCAATCAAACTGGGACTTCTGTGCTGCGTCCCGTTTTAACTACAGTGGGGGGCCCTCTATAGTGCCGGTTGAATAGTGCCAACTGCCGGTATAGTGCCGGTAAAATCTCTCCACACAGAAAGCGCCCTCAATAGTGCCAAACGGCACTATTGAGGGCGGGCCTGGTATAGTGCCGGTTGGGCACCACGTCAGCCCGCAATAGTGCCGGTTCACACACGCACGCACACACACCACCACACTCCCAAAATACAGACACCGTGCTGCTGCAGTCCAACACAGCTCTACGCAGAGGCGCACCATGCCGTGTGCGGAAGGTGAACTGTGCCTTCAACAGAACAGAACGCCGAAGGCCCCTCATGGCCACGTCTGCAAGGGAGGATGTGGCGGGCGGCTCCATGGCACTTGCGGCAGCGTGGAGGGTGACTTCGAAACATCCCGCATCTGCAGTTCTTGCGTCGCTGCTAAGACTGGCAAGCGCAAAGCGACCGCAGCTGGGGTTGATGCTGGGGCGGGACCATCTAAACGTCCGACAGAGAAAGGGGGGGGGAAGAAGGCTTCTCGCGCGCGGCTGAGCAACGCTGACAAGGTTGAGGTCCTCAAGCTGCTGGATGCCAAGATTTCTCATGAGCAGATAGCAGATCGCTTTAAGTGCTCGGAACGGCTGGTCTGCAAGGTGAACGCTGAACGGAAGGAAGTGGAGGCTAAGGCAGCTGCAGGCGACGGAAGCCAGAAAACCGCACGCAGAGGAGACTTTCCGGAGGTAGGTAGAGTACACGACATGCCTGGCAATTTCCTCTCGAACGTTGTTTTTCCCCGCCATTTTTCAAAAATGCCCTCATGTCGCCGATTTCTACTGCTGTACCTTTTTTTTTTTTGCCCTTCCTTGTTTCTTTGCCTTTCCCTTTTCGTCTTTTCGTATGTATCATATGGTGTTTTTTTTTTTCATGTCACCTCCTTTTTTTGTTATGTCTTTGGCCTTTGAGGTCCTCGATGTCCACACTCATAGACCTTCCGATTATTTGTCCTTGAAATTGAAAGAGCACTGTTGTGTACATATTCGCACCCGCTTTTTTTTCAAAACAAACAAGCAGGCGGACAGTGATCATGAGGACACGGGGGGCGGCCGCCGCGCCCCACCGGCTTACGGTGAACTGTCTTCTCACTTCGGCGTCCTGGAGGTGGCCGCGCGGGAGAGTGGAAACGGGGACGCTGCGTTCCACCTATCGAAAGCGAAGATGGCGATGATCGCGGCGCATGCCGCTAAGGGCGTGCGCCAGACAGACATGAGAGAGTTTGTTGATGAGTGAGGGGGGGACAGCTATACCGCAGTTTTTTTCTTTTTGTTTTGTTTTATTTTTGTCCGCTTCGTTGCTGGCGCGTTTATTGGTTTTGTTGGCGTGTCTCATCACGCAACATCGTAGGGAGGCAGCGAGGAACGTGATATTTTTTCAAGTATACTAAGTTGCACGGACAGGAGCTGTACACGGGGTTTGGCTCCGAAGGTGAATTCTGCGCGTGCATGCGGGAATGGTTTCGCGGCAAACTCAGCTATCAGAGTGGAACCCACATTTGTCTCAGAAAAGGCTGCCCCTGCCGCCCACAAAGTATATTCACCACACTCGATCCACATGCTACTCTGTTGGCCTCGCAAATGGTAAGCGATACACCATGAACTCAAACAGCAGTGCCTCAGTAGTGCCAGACCGGCACTACTGAGGGATATCGATCACCCGAATAGTGCCGTTTGGCACTATTGAGGCACTATTCCCAGTTGTGCCGGTGCCCGCTATAGTGCCGGTGAACGCCCTGCGCACGTACCGGCACTATAGAGGGCCCCCCACTGTATTGGTGTTTGAGGTCTTACTGGCTTCGATTGGAGTGCACAACGCAAGGTTTCGTGCCACCACGAATCGTTTCTCCGAGCTTTCGTCGCGCGCCCTGAGTGGTTTCGAAGTGTGGCATGAAGGGGTGTTCCTGTTTCTCGGTGTTAAGAACCCAATCAATGATCACGCCTCCGCATTCCAACAGTCCCGTGAAGGAACCTTCCTTCGCCCGATAGTGAGGGTGCAATGAAAAGCGTTTTTGACCAAAAGTTCCCAACCCAGAGTTGCCAACAAAACAACTTTTCTCGCAACTTTATGCTCCCGAAAAAAAGCGCTGTTACCTAAACGCAACGAATTATTTTCTGTCCACAGATAAAAAAAGCCCGGCATGTTTTTTTTTTTTGCTCGTTACCCGGCATGTCTTAGTGGTCAATTGGGGCAAAAGCTATGGTGCCCGACCTATTGAGCGAAATCCGGTGAACACATGTATTTGGTTTCTACCTTGGCGATCACAAACTTTGAAGCATAGGGGTGTCCTCCGACCTGTAACACAAAAGGTGGTGACAATTGTCTTTGGCTCTTATCTTGGTAATCATAAACCTTGGAGCACACGGGTGTCGTCCGACCTATTCACACGTGGCGACCAATTGCCTTGTCTTGACGATCACCGCGTGGGCCCCCGACACCGACCCAGGCCCGGAGCGTTAGACCCCGCCTTGAGAAGACCGGGAAGATTCGACCGCGAACTGGCGCTGGCTCCACCCGATGTGAAGGAACGAGCAGACATCCTGCGACATCACTTGATGAGGGTCAAGGTGCTATTTGTTGACTATCTGAATGCCGCCTTCGCTCTCTTTGCTATTGGTTGCAACTGCCTCGTTCTGCAAACGTCCTGCGGCATCACTTGATGAGGGTCAAGGTGCTACATGTTGACTATCCGAATGCCGTCTTCTCTCTCCTACTATTTGTTGAAACTGCCTTGCACTGCAGACAACCTGCAGCATCGCTCTTGAGGAGGGCCGAGGTGTTTTTATTGACTAGTTTACCGCCGTATTGCTATCGCTATCTTGCTATTGGTTGAAACTACGTTGCACCTCTCTGGTCTTTTTGTTATTTATTGTGGTTGTGGTGATCGATGTATTTTTCTGTATTTTTTGGGTTGAAAGGAAAGGATTCCCTCGTTAGCCATACCGCAGGGCAGCGGAGATTTCTGGGTGCAAAGGAAAAAAACTTCGCTAACTCCTCCCGAGCTAGGAAGACACTAAGATGTATACAAGTATGGGTTGCAAGCTTTACGAGGGTGACTCGTTTTTCCGCCTAAATTGAATTCGTCCAAGGGATTGAAGAGCTAAGTACGATGCTTCTTCTGGAATAGTTTTCACTTCCTTTCTCGTGTATCACCCCAAATGCTCATCAACATCACACCAACAACTTTTCGGCACCCTTACCTCACTTGTCGAAATACAGATACAAGAATACAACATTAGTTTTCTCCTGTGTATGTCGGATTGAACAATTTCACGGCGGCGCACACCTTGACTTGGTTGTTTTCGTGTCGCTGTTGCTCCAGGTCGCTGGAGGGGAATCAACCATCGAAACGGTGTCCCGCAAGTGCGTCGGCTACGTGGGCGCCGATCTCGCCGCCCTCGCTCGAGAGGCCGCCCTCTTGGCCGCCAGGTATGTATCCTCAAGGGGATCGTGATTTTCCTCGCGAAACATGTTTTTGCATCGTTTGTGGCTGTGTTGGTTTTGCATCGATCGGCACTGCAAGTGTAGTCGTGGGGGGGCGTTTGTTTTTTGGCTTTTTTTCGATTTTTTTTTTTTATCTAGTACGTCGGGGGGGGGACCGGCTGCTCTACAAAGAGCGATCGCCGATTTTTGTTCTGCCTGGGGACCATGTCCTTCACGTGTGTGGCTGTGAGCCCGCATTTTGCCCTGTACGGCACCAAGGTCGGTATATCCTAAACCTCTAACGTTGTGACGAAGGTTTGGGTGTTACTCTGGCATCCTATGCGGTACTCCGGCATTGCTTTTGTTGTCGTACTGCGCTCTCTCCGACATGCAGAAGGCGTTTGTTTGGTGGGTGGTGTGAGTGCTGTTGTTGCTGTCGTCTCGGAAAGTAATTAGGTATTTCTAGCCTGCGCACAATACATCCGCATGCCTCACTGCTGTTGTAGCCGATATGTTGACTTGTGTCAACACAGCATCAACCGAACACAGCTGTTATAGTTCGCGTCGCGCTTACGACAGTTTCCATGTACTGGTACCTGGTTGTCTCGACACCAATGCCGACATGTACCTCCTTCCCCGGACGATAGGTTCTCCGCCAAAGACAAGAACGGCAACACTCGTACCGTCCGCGAGCGTCCTCGCGATGTCCGCTCTTCGATAACCCCACATCCTTGATGGAGTTGCGACGACGATTGAGGCGTTTTTTTTTTTTTATGTCGGTTTCACGGTACGCTGCGTCCCCTCACTACACAGGACCCAGGCCTCCCGACCATCTCGCCACGATGGCGAAGAGAATCGGCCATTGGCGGCGGCGTCGAAGGAGGCCTTGGTGGAACCCGAGCACCTCTCTCTGGCGATGGAAAAGGTGCCAGGGTGTGCTCGACATGCTTGTCTTGCTCTTTGTTGTGGAGGCCATGGGCGTGCGGACAAATCGACCTTATTGTTGCTGCCGCTACTGCGGTACCGAGCGCAACAAAAGGCCGTGTTTTCGACAAGGGATGCGGCCCGATTATTGCGTCGACTCATTTTTAGGATACTGGAAGGTACTGAGTGGATATCGGAACGTTTTTTTTTGTGAAGACAGTCGAACAACAACAACAACAACAACAACAACAACGACAACAGCAGCAGCAGCAGCAGCAGCAGCAACAACAACAACATTGTTCTTGTTCGGGTCCTGCGCCCTTTCGCGTTCCGAAACCAAGGCGTGCGCCGAAGAGATAGTCTTCTCTGTGGCGGAGATATTCGCAGGTCCTCAATCAGATGGGGATGACTGCACGCAGGTAGGGAGGGACTAAAATCGACGGCTTGTCTTGGGCGTAGTGAAAAGGAAACACGTCAAAACCTTTGAATCCGGCGCCAAGCCAAGCCCGTGTATTCGGCTTTCCGCGTCTGGCTTTCGACATCTTCATGAAAACTCTAATGGAAGCGCCAGGTCCGTGATTTCAGACTTGAAGGCTTTTCAAGCCTGTCTATTGAGAACTTTTCTTTTTGTCACAATTCTCTGTTGTGCGTGGGCATGTCTCGACACCAACAGGTGGGGGCGTCGTCGCTACGGGGACACCAGGTTACCGTCCCTGACACACCGTGGTCGGATATCGGAGGAATGGAGGAGGTATACTTCCCCCGTTGTTGATATCAGTGCCCCCCTTTCTTCTCCTGTTTTTTTCGTGTGATTTTTGTTCTAGGTGGTCGTGATGCTCTATTGTGTCTCCGTTCTCTTTTTTGGGTCTTTTTTAAGTTGACGCATGATGAGGGTTATCCCGGTATACCCATGGTAGAGGTATCCGGGTACACATGGTATGTTAGAGGTGTCCTGGTAGTGGTTTAGCTCAGAGAACACGGTGCGCCGACATTCTTTTTGCCGCCTCCGCACATGCGGTCAAACGTACGTTAGTATGGTACGTTATAGTCACCGACGTAAGAATGGCATGCATTCGAGTATAGTCACCGACTCAAAAACTTTTCTGCCTTGCATGAATGAGCACACCGATAGAGGTATGCTCTACCCCTGGGTCCAGAGAAAGGCGGAATGATGAAAAGGACCGAAGATTTTTCTGAACGCTGTTGTTTCAGCGATTCACCCTGTAGTTCCACTTGTATCGTACGCCGCAAGGGGCCCTCCATGTGGAAACCGTGGAACACGCCAGCCCCCCCCCCCCCGGGCCAAGATTGCAGCGCATAATAAGGGGTTTAGGCGGCACGCTTGCAGCAGTATATTGTATAGGATTTAGTGCTTCCATAGTAAAACCGATATTCTGTTCATTGAATAAACGTTCGTGCCGCATTCTAAAACCCATAAAATTCTCTTCATTTGTAGGCTTCGTGTCGTTATACTAATTCCTACCCCATAAACTAGACCTCGCGACCAAGATTGACGCGTATTCTTGGGGTGTTTTCATAATTTCCACTAACTCTCGTGTGGGATCCCGCGCGCGCGCGCTGAAAAAAGCGCCCGAAAATGTCCAAACCCCGGGGATTTTGTCAAAATGTCGCCCAACGGGGACATATAAAGGCCCCCCCCCCCCCCCCCCCCCCCCCCCCCAAAAATTTC